ACAACAACAACAACAACAACAACAACAACAACAACAACAACAACAACAACAACCACCACCATAACAACACTCCCAGGTGGTGTCCAAAGACGAGACTCACCGATGCATGCACTGTTGACAGGCAAAACACTCGAGGTGATACACGTTATTTTTGGCCCTCATCACCATCTCGAAGGCTGGAATCATCTTTTTACATGCCGCACAGTAGCCAGTGGTGCCGAACAGTCTGAGAAATAAGAAAGAAACGGGTTTATCTTTCACTCAAGTTTTACGGCACCTGCGATACAGATAGGCCATAATATAAGTGCCGAGGAGTAGAGGTGATACTGGAGAGTAACGTTCAAAGAAAAGAAAGCGGGAAGATAAGGACGATAGATGTTTGACAGGAAAGAAGGAGCAAAAAGATACATAATTTTATTCTTCTGTAGACATGGCCTTAAACTGACAAGGATTTCGCTTTGCTCATTTGACAAATAATAAATAGTAAGCTTCAAATGGAGGGCACAAAATTGTTTATTCGCCAACATTGGAGAATACACACCCTGAAAACTCACTATTGGATAAACGTCAAGACCTACTACTCACATCCGGAGTCACAGTTGGGTCACTGTGACGTCATGCCAGAAAGACGCTTTTAACTTATTTTCTGAATGAAGCGCCGAAATTTACTTTGACCTTACTATAAAAACACTAGGCACCGTAATGAAATTGTCTGAAAACAATGACGTAATGACACCTGCTGGATCTATTATTGGCAAAACCCTACATTTCACTTGACACCTAAATAAGCGATGGATCAAAATAATGACTTCCAAATTAGAATGATTCGACAAGGTTTCAGTTATTCCTGCCGGTAAAAACCCATAACAAGAACAGCTGCAGTGATTATTTTCTGAAAGCCAGTTACAGAGTGCCAGTTGTTTGGATTCTGTGGGATGAGGCTTCATCGGCGTGGCAGTCTCTTAATGGGAGATTTTGTTGGTAATGCCTTCCTCACGAAGAAAAAAAAAAGCCCCTTAAGAAACAACACCCGTATGTATATTTATCACCACGTGCTCATATTAATGGCATCTGTGACCAATTTTATTGCATCTCAAAGTTAACGATGAGTGGACTATTGATGAATGAATGAATGAATGAATGATTGAATGAAAGAATGAATGAATGAATGAATGAATGAACGAATGAATGAATGACTGAATGAATGAAGAGAGGGAGGGGTGTATGGAGTGATGATTGAAGGAATAAATGAATAAAGGGATGAGAGAAAGAAAAAAGTGAATTAATAAATGAATGAATGAGTGAATGAATGAATGAATGAATGAATGAGTGAATGAATGAATGAATGAATGACTGAATGAAGAGTGGGGTGTATGGAGTGATGGTTGAAGGAATAAATGAATAAAGAAATAAAAGAAAGAAAAAAGTAAACGAATGAATGAATAAATGAATGAATGAATGAATGAACGAACGCTCTAGTGGACCACTCACCTGAGATAGTCACGTCGACACAGCAGAAGGTTGGCCTTGCTGAACAGTGTGGAGCCCACCTCCCCGAGCCGGCAGTCACAGCAGGAACACTTGAGGCAGTCCTCATGCCACAGCTGGTCCAGGGCCTTGAGGAAGTATCGGTCAGTGATGGGCTTCTTGCAGGACATGCACTCCTGCTGGGCTGGGGGCTTGACCACTCCAGGACTCATCTCGCCGCCAGACATGGGAACTGGACCTGGTGAGGGAGTAAAAAGAAAGAGGTTGGTGGTTAGTGAGGTTTGGAGAGGGGTTTGCGTCTCTTTCAACGCGGCACTGGACATAGTGGGGGAGAAAAAGAAAGAGGTTGGTGGTTAGTGAGGTTTGGCGAGGCCCGGGTTTGCGTCTCTTTCAACGCGGCACTGGACATAGTGGGGGAGAAAAAGAAAGAGGTTGGTGGTTAGTGAGGTTTGGCGAGGCCCGGGTTTGCGTCTCTTTCAACGCGGCACTGGACATAGTGGGGGAGAAA